TATTATCCCGATGGGGATCTTCCATTGCAATACCACACCATAACCGCCTACCCTGGCAGACGAGGAGACAGTCTTTATTTGCTGCTGTTTTAATCATCAATACATCATTAAATGTATTTTTAAGGCTAGGTTCACACGTGCACGACACCTGGGGCGCGTGCCCCTGGTATCGTGTGGTCCTGCACAATGCAGGCGGCTCCATTGATTTCAATGGGGTGACGTCCGCACAGCAATCGCAGAAAAAAGGTACAAGTACCTTCTTTTTGTGATACACGACACGCGGCTGTTTCGTGTTCGGAAGCACAGGCGGAATACCACGCGATCCGCCCGGCGCGACTGGGGTGCCACTAGCAAATAATAGCACCCACAGCGCGATAGGTTCACACTTTGTCGAATCCTGACCGCGGTGTGAGGTGTCGCCTAGGTGTGAACCTAGCCTAAATGTAAGCAATGTATGTGCCTGCGTTTGACCTTGCATCAGCCTCTGTACAGCAGAGCTCAGAGAGGGGGTGGGAGAAACAGCACAAGAAGTATGCTGATAGCAGGAAAGGGCAGAGATGAGCTTATCAATATGCCAGTTCACTGTCCAGTCACATGGTGGGGATGGGGAGGAGACATGTAAGTAAAAGTGAAACTGCAGCAGAAAAGGATTGAGTCCCCTCATCTGCCACCTCATACTTGGCTGTGTGTCAGAACTGTATAGACAGGCATATAAATCCATTAGCAGATAAAACAACTGTCATATATGTATGTATTTCACATGTGTATTGAACTGTTTGCTTAGAGTTCAGCTTGAAACACAGATCTAAGTTACTCGTTTGAAAAATTGGATGGTGGTCTTCCGTTTTCTGGCTGCATTTGAAAATGACAACCACAATCTTATTTATAACAACGGGGTCACAATATCATACGAGCTAGCTTTTATTAATGGGAGTTATTAAACTTTAAAGTGGCCCTGTCACTAAAACTAAGGCTGCACCTGCAAGGAAGTACATGGATAATCCTCTCTCTTGCTGACCTCGCTTCTGCAATGAAGAGAAATCGCTCGCTGAAGAATCTTCTTGACCTCCTCAGTGTTTCCCCCCCCACTGACCCCCTACATCACTAGAAGACACAGTAGTAATGTAGGGTTGGTGGAAGGAACCACGCAGCACATTGGGGGACCATATGTTCTAATTTGCAGGTGATGTTTTATTTTAGCTTTAAAGGAGAACTATGGGGTTAGGGCTTTTCCCCATAGTTCTCCTAAGGGTCATGTGCGAACACAAATTAGTGTCCTCCCGTAACCCAAAGCTCAGTATACCGCGAGCTACAGTTCGCAGTATACTGAGACGCCGCAGCCGGAACAGATCCCAACATTGCTATCGAGATCCACCCAGATCTTGATAGCAGTTTGACAGCAATGTGACAGTTTCATTGTCACAGGCCGGCTCAGATTATGAGGCTGTCAATGTGTGTGTGTATGTATATATATATATATATGTGTATGTGTGTTATTTTTGTTACATTTTATTTATTTACATTTTTACTTTTGTTTTAATATTACAATATTTATTTATTTTTCATACTGAATATTCTTCTCCTGAAGGATCCTCCTTATTTCGGACAGTTGTAGCAAATTACCCAGCTCTTTCGCTAATGGAGTCCCGCGGCATGGCGACCCTCAATCAGATGCACCGAGCCGGCCGACCTAAGCGTCCTCCTCGCAAAGTGGGACCTTTGGGTGGATGTCCTCAGCTGAAGGGCGTTGTCCTAAAGACCATGATCCGCAAGCCCAAGAAACCCAACTCCGCAAACCGCAAGTGCGCCCGTGTGCGGCTCAGCAACGGCAAGGAAGTAGTGGTTTTTATTCCAGGTGAAGGGCATAATCTGCAGGAACACAGCATTGTCCTGGTGGAGGGTGGTCGCACGCAGGACCTTCCCGGGGTGAAACTCAAAGTAGTCCGGGGAAAATATGACTGCGCCCATGTGAAGAAAAAGCAGTAATGAGTGTTGGCCAACCTGTTATTTCTTGCCAACCAGTTCCTGTGCCAGAGGAGGACACGTCAACCTGTACAGCAAGATCACTGAGCTTTTTTTGTATCTGTTTTAGGCTGAGGAACAGATTTGTGATAATGCATTATGGGTTTTTTTTCTTATTCTTGGGCTGGTGAGCGGGTCATCCAGTGGCATCTTATGTCTCCAGCAGCAAGATTAGTGCATGAAATCACACTCTTGGTGCCACTTACCATCTACCACAGGCAGCAAGGTACTCATAATGGATGCAGGTGGTGGCCAAAACAGGAAAATCGGGTGCAGAGATCTGACCTCTGGAACCACAAGAGATCATAAGACGGCTGATGGGTGATTCAGCCCAACTGCTTATCACAAAGATTGAAGATCAGTTTTAGATAAAGCGACCCTTCAGTTTTCATGGATCAGAATTCTTTTGTGCACATCTGTTTTCAAGGAAAATGCTGTTATTAAAATATGTTTATTTTGTAAATGTTATTCATTGCAAACGTTATTTAATTTTTGGTTTTGTTTTGGCTTTATTTTTGCAAGCAGTGGGGTTGATTTGCTGAAGTCAGTAAGCTGTTCACTCCAATTGCAAGGGAATTTGAGCATTGCAGGGAAGGTTTTCCTTTGCTTGGGGGTGAGGCGATTTTGGGTTTCTCCTCTCCTCCTTTTAAAGGAAAGCAAGTGCAGATGTGTTGTTAATACCTCACTTGCAGCAACAAGATACCATCCTCATTGACACCTTAGGCATTCTGCCATGGTTGGTAATTCGCTGTGATGGCATTTAAAAGTGGATTCATGATTAGAAGAACATGTATCTTCATTAAATTAAAACAAGCCGTCATTGACCTCAGTAGCTGAAGGCACTGCTGAACAATTAATTCAAAGTTCACAGTAAAAGTGCTCAGCTCCCCTTCTAGTCGTGCTCAGCAGCTTTTACATTTCCCAATTAAATGTAACATCTGCTATACCATATTTGCATATTTATAGATGTATTTTCAGAGGCAGCAACTGAAGTGGAGCTTAAAATAGCTAAGGGTCAGGATGTAGCACGGATGTCGGGAGCTGCAGTGAGACACGTCTGCTCAGTCTCACATCCCGGCCACGCCCCCCAACCTCATAGTTTGAGCCGACAATGGAACTGTTATGCTTTAATTTCCAAAGCTTAACTGAAGAGAAGCGGATTGGTTACTATAGGCAACTGCTCCACATTCTGTCTCCTCCAGTTTTGATAAATGCCCCCACAGTGCATTGCAGTTTGTTACATATAGGGCTGCCTGGCCACAAACCAGTCAAGGTGCCCATGCTGACCTGTGTCCACTGCCAGAAGCACCTACAATGAGCACGTGAGCAACAGAACTAGACCGCAGAGCAATGGAAGAAGGTGGCCTGGTCTGATGAATCATGTTTTCTTTTACATCCTGTGGATGGCCATGTGTGTGTTTGTCATTTACCAGGGGAAGAGATGGCACCAGGATGCACTATGAGAAGACAAGCCGGTGGAAGCAGTGTGATGCTTTGGGCATTTGTTCTGCTGGGAAACCTTGGGTCCTGCCATTCATGTGGATGTTACTTTGACATGTACCACCTCCCTAAACATTGTTGCTGATCAAGTACATTTCTTCATGGAAACGGTATTCCCTGATGGCAGTGGCCTCTTTTAGCAGGATTAAACATCCTGCAAACATGTTTCAAGAATGGTCTGAAGAACACAATGAGTTGGAGGTGTTGACTTGGCCTCCAAATGTTCCAGATCTCAATTCAATCGAGCATCTGTGGAATGAAATGGAAAAACAAGTATGATCCATGGAGGCCCCACCTTGCAACTTACAGGACTTAAAGGATCTGCTACTGATGGTTTGGTGCCAGATACCACAGCATACCTTCAGGGGTCTAGTGGAGTCAATGCATCGACAGGTCAGGGCTCTTTTGGCGGCAAAATCGGGGACCTACTTATTAGACAAGAGGGTTTTGGCTGATCAGTGTAGGTAGTATGTAAGTTTTATTTTGTGTATTCTGCATAGTCTAGCTGTACTGCCAGCTGGCTGCAGCTATGATTGCTGTGTCTCTCATTTAGGAAAGCAGCGGTGTTGTTTATCCACCTACTTCACGCCTTATCCATTCACAGAATACAAGGCATTCTGTGAATCGAAAAAAGGAGAGGGGTACTTGTAAATGACGCTATTGCTTCCCTATACGAGAGCCACTGACAGCCTGAAGATATGACCTAAAGCTTTCTGCCTGGAGTTCCACTTTAAAATCAAAAACTTTCTAGCTTTAGATGGACCAAGGAAAAGTTAGAACCTCTGCAGGCTTTTTATTCCTGTGTCTTTGTTAGGGAAGTTCCCCCACCCTCTAACTTCTGTCGCAAATGCTACTTCAAAGGCAATGGACGGGAACTCATTATGCCTTGCGATGAGTAACTAGAAAGCAACATGGGAATCAGGATAACAAATTTGATCTGAGGCTTCTCACACAGGTATTTCTCATACACTTTAACATTATGCAAAAGACCTTAAAAGACCAAAATAAACAAGAGGCACACTGTTTTTTTTGTGTAGAAAAATTATTTATTCCTTACATTTGCCACAAAAAATGTCAGCAATAATGCCTTTAGGCTCGCTTCACACCTGGGCGATCCATGACCGCGTGGCGCTCAGACGTGAAACCGCGTGAATTGCCATGCAGTCACTGAAACGCGCACAACCGCTGATTGCGCTTGCGGTGCAAATCATTTTTTAATGGCACTCCAATTGCGGCAGGCACATCGTGCAGTTTTGCCGCCGCGATTTCGCGTGTGTATCTATGCACAATAGCGGCAGACAAAAACACGAGGTGTGGAAAAAGGTAATTGTACCTTTTTTCAACAATGAACAGATGGTAAGTCACTCGCACTCCAATATAGCTTCCAGTCAATCTATTTATTGACTAAATGGTGCAACATTTCCATACAACGTTTCGGAACCAAAGAGGTCCCTTCATCAGGCAAATAAAGGGACCTGATGAAGGGGCCTCTGGTTCCGAAACGTTGTATGGAAATGTTGCACCATTTAGTCAATAAATAGATTGACTGGAAGCTATATTGGAGTGCGAGTGACTTACCATCTGTTCATTGTTATCTGTGGAGGCGTCTGCTGTCACTGCCGCACCCTCCTTTCCCGTGTGTGGGGAATTTGTTTCCGGTCAGGAGTGTGATGGGAAGTTTTGGATTTTCTTCAACGATTGCCGCACAGATATAACCCCATCGAAATTAAATGGGGCCACACGGCAAATGCTGTGCGCAATAACACGTGTTCACTGGACATCGCCCACATGTAAACCTGGCCTAAAGTGCTCGTTCACACCAGCCAGCTGTGCTGATCGCGTGGCTGCTGATGTTTTCTGGGAAGAACATTGCTGACTGCATTGATCCTGACGCATGACACGGTTTACTTATTTTATTACTAGAACTTTAAACTTCACAAGTAACATTTCCTTCAGTTCTATTCACTACACTAGACTCCATGGTGAACAGGCAATTGGCTTTGTATATGTGATAGGATTGCACTGGTCAAGGCTGGCAGCGCAGTCCCAACAAATTTGGTGTGAACGAGCCCTAAAATCTACTACATATAGTGATTACCTCAATAGTGTAATAAATATATATATTTAAATATTTTACACACAGACACAGACCTTGACCATGCCAATTTTTTTATGAGCCCTTTTGCTGGTATTAGGGAAATAAATAAACGTGGCTCATAATATACTGCTGGTCCGGAGCCGACTAGTTATATAATAGAATATGAAAAATAAACCCCAAATCCTATATCAATAAAAATTTGAATCAAAATAATTCATCCTTTTAAATTAGCAACAGGGGAAAACTGCATTAGCGATGTGAAAAGGAGCACCAATTAAAAAGAGCATTTAAACACAAATCTCCTGTCATGGCCATGTATTAATATAAATATTATGTGCATTTTTCTGCACACCGCCACACATGCACGGTATGATCAGCGTATATAGAAAGCAATTTGCTATGTGCCCCATTAACACCATACACTTAGGGTCTGTTCACACTTGCCCATGCGCTAAAGAGCGGGCTAGCGTGCTGTGCTGAATGAGGTCCAGGGGAAAGGAGCAATGGGATTTTTACATTTTTTTTTTTAACTTTTTTGAGAATGTACGCTCTCTTTTCAAGTCCTTGCACAGCGGCACAGTGACCTCCAGTGCATTGCAGAAAAATCCAGCATATATTCATTTTTTCAGATCACACTCGCATTGTGGTGTGAATGTGGTGCACGTAAAACAATTCTTTTCTATGTGCCCCGGTGATGACTGGCGTTACAGTTGCTGAAAACTGCTAGTCAGCACTAATGGCATGAACGAGCCCTCACTGTTTTTTCTCGCTCCAGCTTAAATATGGGGGTATTGATATTATTATAATATAATTAGGGGTGCAGCTAATGATTATTTTCATAATCGATTAGTTAGCCGATTATTAAGTTCGATTAATCGGAGTAAAAAAAAAAAAAGGCTCCAGTGGACTACTAGTTTGTATTGAGATTATAGTCCATCACGGGAGCAAGCTTGGCACGGTGGAAGTAAAAAAATATATAGTACATTATACAGCGGCGCAGTGCAGAATACCAGCAGCTATAGAGGAATGCAGCAATAGTACATTATACTATAATGTACTAGTGCTGGGATTTGTAGTCCTCTGTAGCTGGCGTTATTCTGCATTACGTTGTATATAATGTATTATTGCTGCGATTTGTAGTCCTCTATAGCTGGTGGTATTCTGCAGTGTGCTGTGTAATGATTATATGGCACAATGCAGAATACCAGCAGCTATAGAGGAATACAACAAATGCCAGCAATAGTACATTATACTATACTATTATGTATATAATATATTATTGCTGGGATCTGATGTATTCCTCTATAGATGGCGTTATTCTGCATTGCGTTGTATATAATGTATTATTGCTGGGATTTGTAGTCCTCTATAGCTGGTGGTATTCTGCAGTGCGCTGTATAATGATTATACGGCGAAATGCAGAATACCAGCAGCTATATAGGAATACAACAAATGCCAGCAATAGTACAACATTACACTATAATGTACTATTGCTGGGATTTGTAGTCCTCTGTAACTGCTGGTATTCTGCATTGCGTTGTATATAATGTATTATTGCTGGGATTTGAAGTCCTCTATAGCTGGTGGTATTCTCCATTGCGCTGTATAATGATTATGCTGCGCAATGCAGATTACCACTGACCAGCTATAGAGGAACTACAAATCCCAGCAATAATACATTATACAGGCTGCTTAATATATTATTGCTGGGATTTGGTGTTCCTCTAAAGCTGCTGGTATTATACCAGCAGCTATAGAGCTGTATTATACAATGCAGAACACCATGTACAATACAATGCAATGCAGAATACCAATGTATATCTCCCGGCCGATCTCGACTTACTTTGAATGACGGTGTTGTCGGCGGGCAGCGGCGTTGTTGGTTGCCGGCGGGCAGTGGCGAGTCAGGAAGCTCACCGGGAGGAGAGGGCCAGATGCATGTCCTCAGCGTGTGCTGTGGACGTGAGCGGGTTTACCGGCGTGGCGCGAGCGGCTTAACCGACGCGGGAATGGCGCGAGCGGGAAATTTGAATTTTAGCCGACGAATCGACGATGGAAAACGTTTACAACGTTTTCCATCCTCAATTTTAATCGACTTAATCGAATAATTGTTGCAGCTCTAAATATAATGGCGATGTGTGAGGACAGCTGATTTGATTTAAAAATGTTTTAATCAATATTAAGTTTTCCCATTTGTAATGCAGCTTTCCCCTGATGCTTATTTATAGGGAAATGTAATTTTGATTCAAAACATACCAAAAAGGTTTGAAAGGGGTTTGTTTTTCATTTTGTATCAGAGAGAACGTATTTTAACAAACGGGTCATGGTTAACAAAAATGTAATTAAAACATGTTGACAGATGCTGCGAAGCCCAGACAGAAATGTAACGGAGTTTATATTACAGTAGCTTTGTACACCATCACCTCTCCCTGCCCAACTTCATTGATGAGAGAGGACCATAGATCGTGTCTGTCTGAAGCCAGGATGAGCGACAAGGGAATAATCTTCAGGTTTATGAGAAGCATGGCTCAATGTTGTTACACTTCAGTGTGACGGATGAGTTGGTGATGCGGGCACCGTACCATCCTTTCCAGAACTGCAAATCCTTTCCTTTGTGTATAAACCTCACATAGCGCACCCCGGGTCCATACCCACGGAACTCATGAGAGACCTGTGAAGAGACAGTATAGGGTTTTAGAGCTTGTATGGACATGTGTATGCTTCTTGTATTCTCCGCTGGAACTCACTGGGGTGATGTATAAACTCGAGTTCCTAGCATCAGACGGTATACTTTCTACACTTACACTGTATCTACGCCATGGAGGAATAGCCATTTGCATCCTCTTTACCATGTGGCTTAAAGTTACTGTGTCAGAAAAAGATATATCAAGAAAGTTGGCTGCAGAGCAATGTGTAACACATAAAGACTGATAACAAATAAAAAAAAAAAAAAACTTGGACTTCCAATTTAAAGTGACCCTGTCATCACCAAAATTACATACCTGTAATAAAAGATGTTCCATGCGTTAGCTGAAATGTCACCTCTTCGGCGCATGCCAGCTACTGCACATTTCACACTTCAGGTATGTGAAATAACTGCTCCCCCCCTGCACACTGGTTTCACCCACCAGTTCATACATCACTACAGGATGTGCAAGCTGGCAGGAGAAACCATTGCATGTGATGGGGGAAACAAGTATTCCACCAATCCAGCCAGTCTAATACTTGCAACCGTGAGCACAGAAGAGTGTTCCTGATCTATCAGAAACTACATTTTAGTTGTGGTCTGGTAACCATTCCTATGGGCTGTATTGGTGGCACTGCCCTATTCTGCCACTTCTAAAGCCACCACAATTCAGAAAACCACACTTAAGGTGGAACCCTCTAACATCATCGGAGCCTCTTACCTACCCACAGAGCTCAGTTCTAGAACATATTTAAATATGCATTCGGATTATTCAAACTTGCAGTCAGATGAAGGAAAAACTTCTAAACAAAAACTTCTAAAAGCTCTGGCAAGGAAGCTCCCACACTAAAAGGATTTGCTCAATGGGTACCTGACATAGCTCAAACCATAGAATTACAGAAAGCAGCAGCAAAAAATTAATCAAAGAGCCCAGGATTAGATTGTTGGTAAATAAGTCATATAAATACAGTCAACGCATTTTAGGAACAAAACCACTCCCCCTTCATCAGGGCTCAACACAGGATGGATCCAAGTTAAAGGAGAACTATGAGGTTAGTGCTTTTCACTCACCTCATAGTTCTAGCCGACCTGTGACAATGAGACTGTCACAGGTCGGCTCAGTAGATCGGGAGGTGAGCGAACACATATTGGCGTTCGCTCACCTCTCGATCCTGTCACGGCTCTCTGTCATGACAGGGGAGGGGCTGAATTCCCCCCCTCCCCGCCAGCGCTGACTGGTGGAACGGACGGGGGAGGGGGCAGGTACAGCTGGCTCTGCCTCTAGATAGGCAGAGCCAGCTGTCACTCACGCAGCTGGGCGGATCCCGGCACAATTGTTGGGATCCGCTTCAGCTGCGGCGTCTCAGTATACCGTGAGCTACAGCTCGCGGTATACTGAGCCTAGGGTGATGGGAGGACGCTAGTTTGTGTCCTCCCGTTACCCTAAGGAGAACTATGGGGAAAAGCCTTCAACCCATAGTTCTCCTTTAAACTCTTCTCATGGAGTAACAGTTGCAGTTCTATTATAGATCTGTGTGGTCACTATTTGCTCTGAGTCCATCCAAGTTTACCCTGGTTTGAGCCTTGATGGAGGGAGGATGTTTTTGCCCCCGAATCACGTTGACTGCTTTTCTATAACCTATTTACCAACAATTAAAAATGATCTTGGACTCTCACCCGCTTTTGGTCTGATGTCACTTTATGTTATTCTACATCAAAAAAATCAGCTGACAGCATTGTACTGTTTGATAGAGCAATTTTCCTCCCAGTGTCATGTGACCAATTCACTTATTACCAATTTAAAATCCCTCCTTCTACAAATCATCTTTTGCCAAAACAGGGCCATGTGACCCGTGCAAATCTAAACTTCAAGAAGTATACTTCCATCACAGACCTGTTTATATGTTGTGTCATTCCATTGGGGAATAGGATCTGGTCTCTTGGTAAATTCTTGGAGCACAGCTACCTTATCAACAGCCAGCAGTTGGACCTTTATATCATATGCGCAGCCACAGTCCTGGCGCCCAGCATACCTACAGGAAAAGCATTTTGAAAAGGCGTTCAGTATATAAAATTATTTTCTTTAATGACAGTACATGAAAGGAAAGTGCAAGCCAAATCGCTAAATATACATTTAAGGTCACAGAAACAGATATTTAGACAATGTACTAACGACTTCCATTGTCATAGTCTCACCTCCACTTTCCTGCAGTATGTCTAAATATGGCTTAGCAGTCCAAGAGTTTGACCACACTGCCCAATGCACTCTGCAATTTTAACATCCTGGTCAGACCCCCCCCCCCTCTTTTTCTCTGAACTACAACTGTGTGCAAGGATACATAATTAGGGGTGTGGCCATTACTCATCAATGCCATCAATGCCAAGAGCACTGGAGTGGGAGAGCAGGAAGTACTTTTCCGCTAAGAGTTAAAATCAGTTCTATATTATTCAGGCACCCTATTATCAAAAATGTCTCTTATTTGTGTGTCACTTAGCTGTAGATCCTCAAATCATCTCTGACACTGTCCTTCCTTCTGGAGGGAGGCTACATTTGTTCCCCATGGTCCCTGCGTGTGTTGTAAAGTAGCCACTTGTCCAAGCTCGCTCCTGTGATGGACTACAATCTCAATACAAATTAGTAAACTAAAGGTGAGATTGTAGTCCATCACAGGAGTGAGCTTGGCACAGTGGCTACTTTACAACACACACAGGGACCATGGGGAACAAAGGTAGCCCCCCTCCAGAAGGAAGGACAGTGTCAGCACCAATTCAGAGATGATTTGAGGATCTACAGCCGAGTGATACACAAATAAGATACATTTTTGTTCATAGTTAAAAGGTACATGAATGCATTTTTCAAGATGTAATTCCTGAGTTCAGTGTCACTTTAAAATGTCAAAATCCTGATAACAGGTTCAGTTTAAACCTATAGTCTGAACAGATGATATGCATTCCTTTAATATAAGGGGAGGCAGAAAACATACCAATCAGAGATGCAGATAGCTGGTTGGTGAACATCTAAGAAATGTTCCCATAACCCTTCCTTCACAAGGTCAATTACCTGGTGCTTTTCACACCACCTGTGTAGACACATACAGAAGGGTCAGAAATGGTTCTGGCTGGCATTTTACAAGGAATGAGCTGAACACTTACGCATAGGAGGTGACAAAGCAGGTCTGGCTCTCTGCACCTTCTAAAGCACAGTAGTTGTTTTCCACCGCCCAGCCATCGCCTCCATTTTTGACGTTCCAATGTTGCAGTTTTTCTGCAAAAGGAAGTGAACAAATTTACACCAATAGGCCAAATTCCTTCTAATGTGTTAACAGCTCTGGATAGGAGGTTTGAGATTTGTACTATTACTTAAAGCCCAACTCTAGCCAAAACATTTGTATTATCCACTGTAGGACCGGAAGTATAGTAAATCTCTCCAATGGGGACACAGACAAAAACACTATCAGGGTTATACACAAAAGGGTAAAAAGGGTGAAGAGTGTGGAGAAGGCCCGGAGAAGTGAACAATCTAGGACAACATAGCTGAACTGGATAGTGAGCTGAATTGGAAAAAATTTCCAGTTCAGTTATGTTGTCCTAGATTGTTCACATATCCTGTCTTCTCCAAACTCTTCACAATTTGTGGATAACCCTGTTTATTAGTAGACTTTGGAAAGTCTAACAAGGTTTTTAATACTGTTCGCACATTCCCATCCAGATGACAAGTGTTCCTCTTGTATGGCATCACAGAGACATGAGTAGATGCAAATCTCTCCAATGTGATCACAGAGCGAAATATAAACCTCACAGGCTTCCTAACGATCCTACTCTATCTAGAACCAAAACTAAAACAATTGGCTGGAGTTAGGCTTGAAAGGAGGCTAATAAATATTAGAGTTGCACAAAATGAAAATGTAAAAACCAAAAAAAAAAAAAGAAGGTCAGGCCGAAACCGAATTTTTTTTTATTTCTTTTTTATAAACTAATTTTTTTATATTTAATCATTTTTTATGAAATATTTTTTTTTCACTTTACTTTTAGGGGCTTCGGGGAAATATTGGGGGTCTAAACAGACCCCTGATATTTCCCCTTTTAAAATAGAAAGAGATTGAGGACACAGAGTCCTCAATCTCTTTTTCTGCATCCCCTGTTATAAATGAACAGGAATCCTCTATACTGAGTGTTCCTGTTCATTGATAACATGAGGACATAGTATGTTTACTATAACCACAATCATGAATGAACAGGAGGTGATGTAGATCACTTCCCATTCATTCATAATTGAGGATATAGTAACCAGACTATGTCCTCAATTATTTACAAACACTGAGCGATGACTGAGCGTTTGTACCTCGCTCTCCTTCCTGACAGCTGTCACAGGAGGCGGAGCAGGAGGAGAGCTCAGCCTCCTGTGACAGCGCTGGCTGTCTCCGCCCACACACCGCTCTCCTCTGATCTGTGACAGGAGGCTGAGCGGTGTGGAAGGAGAGACGCTGGCCGCTCACAGCACTCTCCTCCGCGCTGGGTCACAGCAGTGCCAAGCGGGGAGGAGAGAAAGAATAGATGCACCGCTATAACGGCCAGAAAAAGGCACTGTCGGCATTATGCCAAAAGTGGCCTTTTCGGCTATGTTTCGGCAGCCGATATATCGGTGCATTCCTCATAAATAGCAACAGTTTCTGTGTGGAGGGCTCTGCTAGGTTACTTCACTCTCATGTAAACTGGCTGTAGACGGGAAAAAAAACAGCGCGCCTTTGAGGCACCACATGTCCATTTTAGAAGTCTGCACAGCCACCTTCCTGCATTGCATTTTGACCCAATCACACTTCCCTATTTTCTTGCATGAAAATGCATATCAATTAGAAATCAAATTCGTTACCAGGTGGTTAGTTTGCACCGATGTGTGTTTCTAAAAATAGGACTTTTAGCATCCTTGTGCTATTACAAGCGTTAAACAATCCCAGTGAAATTAAGACGGACTTGGATCCTGAGCTTCTTTGCAAGAAGGCATACTCAAAGTGGAGATCCGTGATAAGAGGGTTGCTTTGTATCATGTGAACAGAAACATATTTCTTGGTAATGTCATCAAACCCCCCAATGTCTTGTCTATCTAAAGCTTCACCACTTTATCTCACCATCTTACCCCCCAAGAATTGCATACTAAGTTCCTAGAAAAGGGCTGCTTCACAACCCTTCAGAGTAGCCTTTTCTTGGTAGTGTCATCAAGCCCCCACTGTCTTGTTATCTATGGCTTCACCACTTTATCTCACCAGCTTACCTGGACCACAAGGGTTGCTTACCAAGTTTGTGGAGAAGGGCTGCTTCTCAGCCCTTCAACATGGCCTTTTCTTGGTAGTGTCACCAAACCCCCACTCTCTTGTCCATCTATGGCTTCACCACTATATCTCACCATCTTACCTGTACCACAAGGGTTGAGCACTAAGTTCCTAGAGAAGGGCTGCTTTACATGAATTCTCTGCCAGGGAATGTTGCGACACATATCAGCCGCTCTGAGGATGTCCGTCCTGTTCATATGCTCAAATTTCCTTCTCCAGATTGTGGGCAAGTCAACCAGGTACTTCCAGCGACTGCTCACACCCCTACAGTGGAGCACTAAGTCCCTTGCTGGCACATGGCTGAGGATCAAAAGTAGCACGTCATCTGGAAGTGGATCTAAATCCATAATGTATACAATGTTTTTTGAGGAGGGTGTTTGTTGGTGGGAGATTTGTTGGCCCATTCCAAACTTCAGAGAGGGTACTCAGCAAGTCCTGTGACAGAACATTGGTCTGTAAACATATGTAAAAAGAAAAACACCAATTGTTATCTAGGTAAAAGATATTTAAAAAAAAGAGAACATTGTAAAACCAGCCCCATTTTGTAATTTAATGTATAAAGAATGGCTATCAAGTTACAATCTTCAAACATGCCATTAGACTGTACAGCTGCAAATGGACCCACTGGATTTATGGGCCTGTTTATACTAGATGTGGGTACGGTGAGTGCCTATAACATTCCCATATAGATCTAAAAACATAACATATAACACATTTCCTTTAAAGTGATACTTTATTTTTTTTGCATATATCTACTGTTAGCAAGCAGTAGATATATGCAAAAATATACTTTTTTTAAAAGTTACCAAATACAGGTGAAACTCGAATAATTAGAATATCGCGCAAAAGTAATTGCAGTAAGTGCTGCAAAAGGGGACCAAACCATAAAAAAAAAAACTTACCTGTGTCTCCGCCGATCGCTCCCGGCTGAAGATTCTCAAGCGGCTGGGAAGTATCATGGGGCGGCCGCATGCGCAGTAGAGATCTTTGGCAGGTAGAAGAGCAGGGACATCGTGCAAGGCCCCGTTCACACCAGGTGCAGTGCTTTCCGGCCCGATTCTGGCCAGAATGCACTGCATCGCATTGTGGCCCGGTTCACTTTTTTGTGGGGCATTTAAGTGAATGGCACCGTAGCCACGCAATGCGATCGGCCGCATGCAATCGCAAGGCACATAATGTGCCTTGCGATCTCGTGCGGCCGATCGCATTGCGGCCAGGGAGGGCGTGGCTACGGTGCCATCAACTTCAATGGACCGCCACAACCCCTCCTGCCCCACATAAATGTGAGCTGGCCGAAATGCCATGCAGTGCGTTCTGGGCAGAATCGGGCCGGAACGCACTGCATCTGGTATGAACGAGGCCTAAGCACACACACAGCCTGCACGCGCACAGATTCCATGGGGTACAGAAGACGCAGCAGTCAGCGCTGGAGGGATTCCTGAAAACAAGTGGAAGGAAGAAGATTAAGTAGCCACCGCTCCAAACTCGCTCCTGTGATGGACTACAATCTCAGGTTTAGTTTACTAATTTGTATTAAAGTTATAGTCCATTACGGGAGTGAGCTTGGAGCGGAGGCTACAAAAGTAGCCCCCCTCCAGAAGGAAGGACAGTGTCAGCAGTTTAGTGTCACTTTAAAAGGCCTAGGCCCATCCCAGTAAAGTGTACTAGTATATACCATTATCTTCTTACTACAACCACCTTACCCCCAGAATTAGTCATTCACATCATGGATATTAGGACCCCACTGCAAGGACAGACATCAGGCAGTTGCACCCAAAAGAAGCGTCCTGCACTGGGACTGACCGAACCTGTCTGCGTTGTTTCCAGGTCAGTGCAGGAATGAAGAAGAACTGTCTGAGGGTATGCTAGTAACAAATGCAAGTCGTGGTCTGGAGGAGACGGTAAGGGGAGGAATGGAGTCAGGTGTGCACTTTCACAGACGAGGAATGTAACCTCCTGGTTTGGCAAAGGCCATGAGCTGCAGAGGGCCCGGTGTAGAGAAGGTTTTTGTCTCATCTACCACTCATGTTCATTGCTCAGCATATGTGCAAACGCTGCTTCAGCGGCCTCCTTTTTGGGGAAAAGAATATCAGACATGTGATCAGTTTCTTATCAGGGACAGTCAACAAGTCCCATATTTAGTGGTCAGGTTGAACAAATACCATCCAAGTGGCAAGCATAATCCTGCCTAGCCAAACTGTCTACACTTCAAGACGTGTTCTAGTTCCTCCTAGGTGAAGTTCTTTCTATCAGCCCTCTGGTCTCTGACCAGTCAATTCACATTCTTTGATAAAACCAGCACCAACAGACCCAGTTCCAGGGTACAACCCTGCCCGGACTCATTTAAGAGAGGCATTAAATTATAAACAATGAAAGAGGGTTTCCTCTGCTAATCAATGCCAAGAATCACTCTGCCCTCTGGCAGTGGGTCATGTGACCTACTCAGCTCACTGGTCACTAAGTCCCTGCTCATGGAATATGCATGACAGCCATTCCAGCAAAGCCAGCCAATCACATGTTGTGAACACTGTTCCTCTCCTACATGGTAGCTGAGAAATAAAAGAAGCCCTGGAGCTTGTACCTTTAAACATAAGTCAGCAACTGATACCCCTTACCTGGGGCAGCACTTACAAAGCAGATGTACCATCTTTAGTAGTGAAAGTGATAGAGAGAGCAACTTACTTTCCCTCTGCGGGTCTCTACACCAGGGGTAAGCAACCATAGCACTCCAGCTGTTGTGGAACTACAAGTTCCATGAGGCATTGCAAGACTCTGCAAGCCAGCCATAGGCCTGACTCCGCGAGGCACAGTGGGATTTGTAGTTTCACCACTGCTGGAGTACTCGGCTTGCCTCCCCTGCTCTGCGCACAGAGATACACAGAAGGCAGCTCTAACATGTATGCAATAAGCCAGAGCTTGCATCGGTGCAGCAGATGTCAGTACACAGCGGTGACTCGCAGCATGCCTGGACTTAACACTCCCATCATGTGCTGTCAGACACACTGCTCTACACACAGCAAGCCACATGTCAGGACCGCCAGCCCCACTCACCAACACAGCCAACTCCCGACTATAACCATCAGCTGATAGCGGTAACCCAACCCTACGCACCATTTTCATTTGGCCCCGCCCATCATCCCGGCCCCCCAGAGCTTCCACCCAATCAGGTCGATGTTCAGTGCCGGTGTTCTATCGAAAGTTCCAACTTATCGAGTTCTCCAACTGTCTGACTTCTGGTTTAGTTACAAATAAGAGGGTTGGCCAAGAAAGCTCTTCTGCACGAGCGCCAGCCGCGGCATTGCCCTATACACATACACCACAGCAATGAAGTATTAAAATGAACTAGGATCACACTAATACCGCACGTTATTAATCTCAGGTGCCCCACTCAAGCGGCGGCCATATTGAATGGGGCACCTGAGATTAATAACGTGCTGTATTAGTGTGATCCAGGTTCATTTTAATACTTCATTGCTGTGGTGTATGTGTATAAGGCAATCCCGCAGCTGGCGCTCGTGCAGAAGAGCTTTTTTGGTCAAACCTCTTAAACCGGAAGTCAGGCAATTGGAGAACTCGAGGAGTTGGAACTTTCGATAGAACACCGGAGCCTTATCACCCTTTCCTGTACTGCACTATATTCATCCAGTCAGCTCTCAGTGGGGGCGTGGCTAATGGGACGTCGTGAACTCTTGAGAAGTCTTTTGACCAATCACAAAGCGTCTTGTCTTCTCTTTGCTCTCTGATCCTGGAATGTTGATACTTTGATACAATTGCTGACCTGTGGGCGGGGATGATAATAAGAAATGTGCGGAACGTTCATCATTAACACAGAGGCTCCAGGATGATAATAATCATATAAAGCTCCATTCACTTAATCATTATTGAAGCGGTAATTATCAAGCGTTATTTTTGATGAAAGTGTATGTACAGAAAAACCTATTTCTTATTTTTGATGGAATGCAGAACTGTGAGAACACTTGTCATTTATTGATTGCTTTATTTTTACTTAACTGGCTTATATTGTTTTGGTTTTTTTCATCATATCAGGAAAATAAAACAAAGATTTAGGGGCGATTCGGCCACACGGATCCGCCGACATGAACGGTCCCATACATTGCTTTGAGGACCATTCATGCAACCGCGCAGGTGCACGCGGTCCGAACCGCCCCCTGCCCGAACTGCTCCCTGCACTATTTTTTCCGCGATGGCACGGTTTTGGGCGTTTTTAATTGTGATTCAGCACTGAAACACAATTAAAAACTCCCAAAACCTCCCTTTATGGATCAACGCATTAACCGTGCTGATCCGCAAACCGCAATGGTGTGAATGGGCTCTCAAGGATGTGCATGCGCAGTAGAGACCTTAGGCAGGGAGAAGAGTGGAGACACAGTTTAAGTCAATGCACGCAGCCGGGAGCATGCAAGACAGACAGACAACGTTGGACGCAGAAGACACAGCAGTCGGCACTGGATCAGAGACCGGCACCAGCGCTGGAGGGATTGCTGAATACAAGTGGAAGGAAGAAGATGATCGGATCAAGAGGCATCATTTAAAGGAGAACTATGGGGTCAGGGCTTTCTCCATAGTTCTCCTAAGAGTAACGGGAGGACACAAACTAGCGTCCTGCCGTCACCCAAAGCTCAGTACATAGCGAGCTACAGCTTGCGGTATACTGAGACGCTGCAGCCGGGACGGATCCCGACTTTACTGTCGAGATCCACCCAGCTGCGGGATTGACAGCTGGCTCTGACTATCTAGAGGCAGAGCCAGCTGTACCCGCCCCCTCCCCTGTCCGTTCCGCCAGTCAGCGCTGGAGGGTCGGATAGGGGATGTGATCCCTGCAGGGAGCCGTGAGTGACAGTCACGGCTCTCTGCAGGGATAGATCGAGAAGTGAGCGAGCTACGGTATGTGTTCGCTCACTTCCCGATCTATTGAGCCGACCTGTGACTCATTGTCACATTGTCACAGGTCGGTTAGAACTATGAGGCTGAGTGATTTTCACTCGCTTCATAGTTCTCCTTTAAGGTAAGTCCTTAAAGCAACATTAGGGGGGTGGGGGTTGTGACTTTAGTGTCACTTTAAGCATAATATTGCAGCTTCCCGTTAAACAATATCCACTGGTTTTACATGAATGCATTTCTGGATGAATTCACAAGAGGGCAGACATGCATAACGCATAATCTTGCTGAGCAAGTCTCCTTTGTTTTGTTTCCGGCTTTGCCCAAGCACTGTCTTCAGACCCTTCTCCTGCTGCTGTCATTGGCAGCAACAGGCGCTGAGCAATCTGGGGTATCACATGTATAAGGACTACAACTAAAATTCAGGTATGTCTCCTCTTCTTTGCTTATCCTCATAGATTATATTCATGCTCTACAGAAGGTCAGAGGCTCAGTGTTTAGCTCAGTTAGGCTGCAGATTGTCCTGGGTCTAGCTCCCACTGGGGACACT